CGGTCGGGCCCAGCCACCCGATGCCCCCCAGCCATCCCCCTCTTCCCGGGACCAGGCTGGCGGCTCCCGGGAGCCTGCCCAGGACCGCAAGAGGTGGGCACCCGCCTGGTTTAGTGCGGACATCGTGGACCTCGTCCACGACCTCCGCACTAGGCACAGGAAAGTGGCCGTCTAGGGCACGAGAGCTGCCAGCCTGGCCACCCAGGAGCAGGTGTGCATGAAAATCAAGGTGGTCCACTGAGACCCCCGACCCTGACCCTGAGCTTACAATGGGCGTACTGGGTCAGACCAAAGGTCCATCTAGCCCAGTAGCCTGTCTGCTGACATCGGCCAACCCTAGGGACCCTGTAGGAGATGGACCGAAGACAGTGACCAAGCCATTTGTCTCGTGCCATCCCTCTCCAGCCTTCCACAAACCTTGGGCAGGGACACCACTCCTACCCCCTGGCTAATAGCACTCCATGGACCCACCCTCCATCACTTGTTCCAAACCTCTGATCATTGTAGTTGCCCTCCCCTCTCCCACCCTCTCTCTTCCCCTCTCCCACCCCCTTTTCCCAGTCTCCCCGAGTTTTGTTCAATAAAGAGAGATTCTATTTTTGACCACAAGTACATCAGGAAGGGGGGCTAGGGAGGGGTAAGTGGAAGGAGGTGAGGGAGGAATGGGGTACGAGCTCCCGATGGGCTGGCTCTGCGGGCTTCTGGGGGTGGACGCTCTCCTGCAGCCCCCCAATTGCCCCCTCTCCCCAGATGGCAGCCTGCGGCAAGTGCGGCCGGTCTGATTGCCGAGTGCTGTGATGTGCCCAGTGTGTGTACTCCGAGCAATCCAAGCCAGGACTGCTTTGCAAGCGGGGCACCCCTGAGAACTGTCTGTCCAGGGTGGGGGTCGGGTCCCTTTAAGCACAGCCCTTGGCTAGCCTGAGACAGCAGCTCCACGCTCTAAGTCCTCATCTGATGCCCTGCCGGCACTGCTTCCAACCATCCTTAACCCCGGTTCAGGGTCCACTCTGTGTGGACATGCTTGTTCGAATTAGCAAAACGTTAATTCGAACTAGTTTTTTAGTCTGGATGCGTTAGTTCGAATTAGCTTAGTTCGAATTAACTAATTCGAACTAAGTTCGTTCGAATTAGCGCTGTAATGTAGACATACCCTTAGAAAGCCACTATCAAAGTATCAGGGGCATTACTTCAATAACCTAGGGCAGTAATAATAAAAAACCTACTCCAAGCCCTTTGTTGTAGTACAGTTCAGTTCATAAATATTCATATATTACTTAAGGATGTTGACCCAAATCCTCAAGGTACTTAGCTGCCCAATTACCATTGAAATAAGTGGAAGTAGGTGCCTAAATACTTTTTGAGGATGTGGGCCTTTTACCCTTAAACAAATGTAATCTCAAAAGATACAAGTGTAACAGTGCCTGGAAATTCAACATTCAGGTGACACTTGAAAAATGAATATCAGGGAACGTGGAACTGCAAGATAAAGTCACTCAAATAGCCTTATGCATGCCGCACAATGAAAACCAGGAGCCAGCCTTAAGATATTTCTACATGACAAATGGAGGTGTGATCGCAGTTTGTGTACTACACAAACTAAGCTTTAATCTAGGTAGCCTGGATATCAAAAGCAGTGAAGCTGCAGTACCGAGGGAGCAGTCTTCCCTCTAATTTTTCCCACCCCTGAGCAGAACAAATTTTGTTATGTGCACCAATGTAGAGGTTCTGTGTGACATGGAGATGATGTGTGACATATCACCTTCATATTGGTGCACATAACAAAAGTCATGTGGTGAGAGTGGAGCCAAAAGATTCCAAGTATGAGAGGGGGTTCAGGCCTGAGGCAAAGGGTTGGGGTGCGAGGGCTCTGACTGGGGGTGCAGGTTTTGAGATGGGGCCAGGAACGAGGGGCTTAGGGTTGGTATGAAGGGCTCTGGTGCAGCCAAGGGATTTGGAACACAGGAGAGTGATACAGTTTGAGACAAGGGGTTGGGGTACAGGAGGGAGGGAGGACTCTATGGTGGGACCAGGAATTAGGGGGTTGGGATGAAAGAAAAGGCTCCAAGTTTGGGGAGGGATTCAGCAGTGGGCTCTGGACCAAGGCTCAGGAGGGGGGTACAGACACTAGACTGAGTGTGTGGGCTTTGGGATGAAGGGGTTGGGGAACAAAGTAACAATGTAAAGGGGTAACCGGTTAACCAGTTATCCAGTAACTGCCTTACTAGCATGCTTATTGGGTAAGTGGTTAACTGGTGCCCAGCTGGGCCAGTGCAGACCCTTCCAACCATGCTGCAGCAGGCCCTGCCAGAGCAGCCTCCTGCTTGCAGTACCTGGCCGGACCCATGATGCAGCGGGGCCGATTAACTGTATATTTTGACCGGTTAACATTTTAAATGGGATTTTACATCCCTAGTGCAAAAATGGCTCTGGGTTGGTGGGGGCTCAGGGAGGGACCTGGGCTTACCAGGGTGACTCCTGGTCAGCGGTGCTAAGGCAGGCTGCATACCCTGGGGCACACACTGCACCCCAGAAGCAGCCAGCACCAGCTCCTGGTGGGGTGGCCATGAGGCTCCATGGCATGCAGAGCCCTGTAGTTTCCTCGGCCTAAGAGCCTGGACCTGCAGTGCTGGCTACTTCCCCGCTGGCCCCAGCACATAGCTGCCTCAGCTGCTGGGGCCAACAGGTAGAAGCCCCTCTCCCCGAGCTGAGGCAGTTCTGTGTAGGGGCTGGGGGAAGAGAGGCACCTCTGTGCCAGCTACGGCAGCTTTGACGTTTGGGGAGAAGCCTCTCTCCCTGTTGCAGCCCTGAGCACCTGCACAGCTTAGCAGGAATTTAGCCAGAGACTAGCTGCCCAAGTAAAAACCCAGTCTCCGTGGCAGGCTTGTCTAGTCCAAGCTGAAGCTCCTGCTGTCATCTGTACCTGAGCTAGGCACATACAAACAAGCTCAAGTGTATCTACACGTGCTGCAATCACATCCACGACTGCAGAGTGGACATACCCTTAGCCACAAATACTCCCCATCTCCATTACATCAAGGACTCTG